AATGTTGAGAACCCTTTAACACTGAAGCCAAAATCGGGGGTGCGGTTACTATTAGGTATGCGGTTTATAATAGGATTTTAACGGTAGGTTTTGGGATGGTAACAGGGTTGCTTTAGGTCATAACTGTTTCAATTTTAAAATTAAGTGACAAAAGCATGAAAATATAATTAAAAAAATCTTTAGAAACCACACTCAACATCAAACTTAAATTGAGCAATATGCCCTGAAGAAATACAGTCGAAAATTCAGCCACATTTTTTTCGTTAGATTTTAGGGCACATTTCTGTCTGAGGATAAAATTACTTTTTGTACACCTCACCAATATATTTCTCAAATTTTAGACTTGTAGAAATAAGGCCTTTTAAAACATTACAATAGTAGCGCAGGAACTTTGAGTACCGAGGTAACATTAGTGTTTAAAACAGCATGGACAATAAACAGAGAAAACCAGTAAACAGAAACTCCTCACAAATATAAACAAGGGACTGTATTAATATTTCATAATATTTCAAGTCCTGACAAGTATAGAAAGATTGACAAATCATTTTAATTATAAAAAACTTATTTTTTGTTATAAAATGCTGGTCCCTCTGTAATATTGCCAAGAAGCAGAAGTTGGTGGTCAAGGCAACCACTAACGATAAACAGTACCTCTTCCTGTTGCTGGAGCATTTTTTTCAATAATTCATGTTGTTGACTCAGAGCTTCTAGTCTTCTTTCTCGACATTCTCATCAGCGCCGTCTTGCTGTAAATACACAAATGAACAGCGATCAAACTCTGAAAAAGTGTGGACACAGATGCTACTATGGAAATGACAGACAAACTAACACACAAGGATAGTGAATATGAAAAGGTTCAACTTGAGATATAGTTTTCAAGTAATGAATGCATATTGAAAATCATTACCATTTATAGTACTTTCACAAACCCATGCAACATAGTGACACTGGTTTCCCACTTATTGAAAGAACACCTCATTTTCATACACAATATTATTTTATGTTACTTTTTAATATGATGCAACCTCATCTTAGAAAAGATATATTCAGTGTTAACATTAAATAAATACTAGATATACACGCTATATTTAAAAAAAATACATTTTAGACTAATCGACTTATCATAAAAGATAAAATGAAATAGCAATACTGTGTCACATCAAGTAAATATTACTACATTACTGTAGAGGATGGTAAAAACTAAAATATAACAGAAATGCGTGATTAAAAGAATAGATGAAGCAGTTACCGGGTAGGATAACAAGCAAAGACGAATGGTAGATTATTGATGGGTTATATAACAATCAGAGCAGTATGCAGGATCTATGATACATACAGCAATGGCAGTAGAACACCAGGCGTGTGTACGTATAGGTCTTTTTGGGGGTGGAGTGAAATGGGATTGCATTGGGTCGTGTCTAAACAATGTAATACCTTATCAAACCACAGTGAGAAAAACAAAAAAAAAACAGTAAGAAAACAGCAGGGGGTCCATCAACACAACAACAGGGGTGACTCTTTCACACACATTCTGACAGTTACATGTGTATATATTAAGCTACTATTGTAAATGAATGGAATGGAATATGAAGTAGACTTTCTATACACGCATGTTTTCACAAATCTACCAACCACCATTGCTTGAACCCCTCCGGATTTGGCATGCATGAGAGTAGAAGATAGAAGAAAGCAAATGTGTACCCAAAACAAACAAAGGATAAATCGTGCAGCCAACAATCCTCAAATCTAAGATGATAATCATGAAGTTTTCAGGCAAACTCAAAAAAATTTAAAATGAAACTAACTAAAGCCCAAGATGATTCATGGAAGTTGTAAAAACACCACCAACAAAAAAACAAGCAATTATTGATGATGCATGTCAATGATAAAAGCCACAGGTTCCCTATTCCCTAGCCTTCATCACTGGTGGTAAAGTCTGTGTGTTGTCAGAAGGTGCTAAATAAAATTCACCCCTGGCATGGTGTTGCTGGACTCTCAAGTTGCTCTACCTCGTCATCACTCTCTGCCCCGCTTGAGCTGCTCCGGTTTGTAGAACTGAGGCTGCTCGTCTCGCCGCTTGACACAGATCTTGTTCGCCGTCGGATGACTGTTTCATTTAATGTTTCATTGAAAGGTGACTCAGTTCTATATTCGTTTAGCATTTCCATGTAATATTTATTGAGTTCATTGGTACCAGCAGCTCTGGGAGATGCATGACTTTGCTCAGCTTCCGGTAAGAGTTCGCCAAGGCGGCTTTCAATTCGTGGCCGGGTACTCATAGTAAATTCCCCTTCCTTGATTTCAGCATTCAAAATAAAATTCACAATAAGCTCACATGTCACTTCACCTTTATTCATCAATAAATAATTTAACTGATACGCACTCACATGTAAACAGTCATTTGAAACAGTGAGCTAGTGTTACACTAGAAAACCACTGGTGTCATTGTAATTATACAAGCAAAGATCTGGTGGTTGTGGTCAGCAACAGATGACACAGGTGATACATTAGAAGGAATACTACAACTTATTCAAGTAATAAAAAAATCACAAGCAGAGTACTGATTTCTTTCGACATTTTCAAACATGATTTGTGCACAGACTTTACTAAGTTGTGACGTATGAAATGATACATTTACAAATAATTAGTTGTGAGTATTAATCTTGAAAGAGCTGTACATCTGTCAATAAGATTAGGTCACCTCATCTTTCAGAACAGAAAACTCATGATTTTTTTGTTGTTGTTTCACAGATAATCTGGTTATGGTAGTATTAATTTGTTACAACTTTGGCTGAAACCATGGCAGTGGAGTAATGTATGATCAAGGATTGATGAACATCTTGCTGTACAAATTTGAGTTGTATTCATGGGGATCAAAAACGATTTTTCAACCACCATGGTACCAGATTATCTATTTGGATATGTTAGGATGCATGAAAAAAAACTATCAAATTTTGTCTAAAAATTACCGACCTACTGCAAGGGTATGGATTAATGACCATAAAATCCAGGAGTGGTATTGTGTAAAATTGAATAAAAAGACTGGGACCCATAACCTGTCATATATATTTTAAATCAACAATAGCCAATACCAATGACAGAAAATCTGAAGACCAAGCTCCAAAATAACTTGCTCTACAAATTTGCCACTTGTAAAATTTCCAAATGTATTTTTTAAATGGTAACGAGACCAAAAACTGACATTTTGCTCAAATTAGTCATTGGCACCGCTGTTGCAGGATATTGAAATAAAAGATCTGAGCTTGTATCGACAACACATTTTTTCCAGAGCATAATCTTCTCATAATGTCTATGTCTTAACTGTCCCTAATTCTATTTTGTTACAAATTCAACGGAAATAAAATCTTTGCTCTTTGCCTCATAAAAAAAAAATAGCTTGAAGGCTCTGAATTGTTTCTTGAAAAATCAGTGGAACAAAATTTTATTGGAGATCTGGGCTTACTATGCATAGATTTGGAACAACCTAGATGTTGAAATGATCTAAGTTTGCAGATAAAGGTAATATACAAAATGCGTTCACACTTAGTAAATGCACTATCATCTATGTGGTCCGTTTAAATAAAATCTGTCAATGCAAGTCTAACGAGTACAACACTACAATATATAATCTCAACTGATGCATATTGACTCAAAAGATCTACATCACTTTGCGCCATATTGTACTAAAATAAAGTCAAAGATTTTTACTGTAACTATTTGATGTGTGTACAGCTTCAAAATCAGACCATCTGACTAAATATGTCGTCAATTATTAAGCCAATCATTGACACATGAGTGTTTGGCATTTGTAATTAGGTATGACTCACCGTAGTTGCTTCGGATATATCAGACCTGGCATCCATGTTAATTGAGGCACTCTCTGCTAGTGAGGTACTATTGGATTCACCAGAATTGTTTTGTTGGTTTTCAGTCATTATTCCGATGCCACTATCGTCTGTCTGCAAAGAAACAACAGAACACAACGGAATAGTTTAGTCAACTAAACAGTGCAATGGCGTCTGAGTACCAACTTGGACCAAGCAATGTCTAAAATCTAGGATTTGGAAACCACGAGGAAGTTTGCCTCTCAATGTGGAAGTTTTTTAGTAACTGCCAACTACTACCATCAATCATCAATTTTGAATTAAATCTGGGGGAAAAAAAATGTGCATCAAGTACCCATTATGTTCAATGGATCCACCAAGTTTGAATGAAATACGTCCATGCACAATCGTGCTCGATTTTGATGAATATTTATCTCTAAAATTGACTTGGATCATGAAACAAATGCATGTGCATATATATGAAATGATGCGTGTGTGTTTGTGAAGTTTGAATGAAATCAGCTAAGGCATATCAGAGATGCAGGTGTGAACAGACACACATAGGTGAAATTACATGTCCCTGAACAAAAGGGTAAATTTATTCACCAAGCATAAAATACGTAAAAATTGCAAACAGTTCATGAAGAAAAAAAGATGAAGTGCTGAAAATTATGGATGAGACACTGCAGGCGAGCTGCAAATATTACAAATACTCACCAGCATTCGCTGAAGAAGATTCATGTAACCTCTTTCTTGGTCCTTGAGGTGGTCTATGAGGCGTTCAAGCTTCCTTATTTGATCAGTATTGGACGCCCTATCACTGGAGTTTTGCAGATTGCTCAACATTGCCCCAGCTTGCTTCTGATAGTCCTATAGAATAGATAAATTACAGTTTTATGAATGTAATGGTCAGAAATTAAACTCAACAGGATGATAAATGTAATAACGTGATTCTGAGCACTGATAACATATAATAGTGCTCAGAATAGTAATATTGTTTCTGCAAAACAGAATAAAAAATTCCAATAAATATTTTTCCCACATACATTTATATGCTTCAAAATAACAGCCAGTTTATGAATAAAATGGGTAAATTGTTTGTAGTTAAC